TGATTATTTTAATAGGTGCAGAAACATCAGTTGACAAAAGTCAATGCCCATTCATGATAAAAACTGGTATAAACCAGGAATAAAACACACACTAATACAAGGTACTTACAAAAACCCTATAGTTACCATCATGCTTTTAATAGTGAAAAACTGAACTCTTTGCGTGAGACTTGAAACGAGGAGAGGATGTTTTCTCTCACCACTCCTATTTAGCATCATACTAGAAGTCCTCCTGAGTGTAACAAGAGGGGAAAAATAAAAGGTACACAGATTGGACAGGAAGGATAGACCTGTTTTTATTTTACAAATGTTATAATGACTCCATGGAATTTATTAATTTTTTTAAAATCACTCTTGAAGTTAATAAGCTAGTATGGCAAGATTACAGGAAATAAAGTTGAACACACAAAAGTCGATTTGCTTTCCAGCAATGAACACTGAGTATTGAAAAAAAAAATCACAAGGCAATACAAAAATATCACTTATAATAACAAACAAAAATGAAGCATTTAGAGATAAATATAACAAAATATGTGTAATGTCTGTATGTAGAAAACTATAAACACCAATGAGAGAAATCAAACAATATATAAATAAGTGGAGTGATATTTCTTTTTTTGTTTTTTTGTTTTTTTTGTTATTATAATTTATGAATGTATTTAACCTTGCTGGTATTTTATGGTATAATTTTGGTTGTGACAAATTTCCTTCTGTTGTTAAATTTTATTATGAAAGTCATTATAAAATATGAATAAAGTTTGAGATAGTCTAATAAAATGTACACAAATTATAGTCTAATCTTTTTTAATTTTTAATTTTAAAGATATAGAGTACAATTCAGGGTTAGGTATACAAATGTTCATTATGCAAATACCCTTGTTGAGGTGTGCCCCCTTGCCCTGGCAGTTTCCTACTACTACCAATCCCTTTCTTATAGTACTATGATAATTGTTTAAGGTCTGCTTATGAGTGGGGACATTTCTCAAAAGAAGACACAGGAGCAGCCAAAAGATTCATGAAAAAAATGCTCAACCCCACTAGTCATCAAAGAAATGCAAATTAAAACCACACTGAGATACCACCTAACTCCAGTCAGAATGGCCATCATCAATACTTCTAAATGCAACAGATGCTGGAGAGGATGCAAAGGGAATACTTCTACACTGTTAGTGGGAGGGTAAACTAGTACAACCTCTGTGGAAAACAGTGTGGTGATTCCTAAAAGATCTAAAAATCGACCTCCCATATGACCCAGCAATCCCCCTACTGGGAATATACCTGGAAAAACTCGAATTACTCTATGAAAAAGACACCTGCACATACATGTATATTGCAGCATTATTTATAATAGCAAAAACATGAAGCCAACCGAGATGCCCATGGAAAGAGAACTGGATAAAAAAAAATGTGGTACATATACATGATGGAGTATTATGCAGTCGTAAAGAAGGACAAAAGTATGAACTTTACAGCAACTTGGATGAACTTAGCGTCTATGATACTGAGTGATATTTCTTAACATGTATTGAAAGACACAGTAGCATTAAGATACCATTTCTAGCCGGGCTCGGTGGCTCAGCCTGTAATCCCATGCCTTTGGGAGGCTGAGGTGAGTGGATTGCCTGAGCCCGCAAGTTCGAGACCCGCGGGGCAGGCGAGACCTCATCTCTACACTAAAATAAAAAAATTAACTGGGTGTGGTAGCACACACCTGTAATTCCGGCTACTCGGAAGTTGGAAGGATTGCCGGAGCCCAGCAGGTCGAGGCTGCAGTGTCCGGGAGCGGTCACTGCACTCCAGTCTGGGTGACAGAGTGAGACTCCAACTCAAAAACAAAAAAAAGATACCATTTCTTCCCAACCTGATTTATAGATTCAAAGCAATTTTGCCCAGAATTCCAGAAAAACTTATTTTTGTATACATGGAAAAATTCAAATTAATTATGTAGCTATTTATCCCTTAAAAAGGTGAGATATAACTCCTCATCCTTCAAGTGTAGGGTGTGCACAGCAACTTCCCTCTAAAGAGTCCTCTTCATATAAGTGATAAGAATGAGCTCTTTCTGTGATTTCTTTCTTTCCAACCTCATAATACCAGTGCAACCTTGAGGATAACATCAAACAAACCAAAGTTGATGTATAGTACACAAAATACTTGACTGATATCCTCAAGAGTCAAGGCCTTTTGAAAGAACTAGAAGTTGACTTTCCATATGACCGAGCAATGTCTCTATTAGAATATATACAGAGGAACTCAAATCATTCTACAAAAAAGATACCTGCACATGCATTTTTATTACAGCACTAGTCACAGTAGCATAAACATGGAACCAACCATGCTGCCCATTGAAGCTGGACTTGGATTTTTAAATGTGGTACATATACACAATGGAATATTTTGCAGCCATAAAGGACAAACATATGGACTTCACAGCAACTTGGATGGATTTAGAGTCGATCATACTCAGAGCTCTGTCACAGAAACAAAGAACAGAGTACCATATGTTCTCACTCATAAACGGACCTTGTACAATTACCATAATATTATAAGAAAGGGATTGGCAGTAATGGGAAACTGCCAGGAAGCGGAGGGCAGGATTGGCTGTTGACGAAACTGACAGGGGAGGGTGAGGCATACCTCATCAACAAGGGTACCTGCATAATGAACATTTGTATACTTAACCCTGAATTGTACCCTGCATCTTTAAAATAAAAATTAATTAATTAATTAATAAAAAAGAGCCAAGGTCATCAAAAACAAGGAAGTATGAGAAAATATTACATTGTAGAGGAACCTAAGGAAACATGGCGACTACATATAATATAGTATTCTGGAAAGGATTCTAGAACAGAAAAAAAGGACATTAGGTAAAAACTAAAAAACCCAAATAATATATGCACTTTAGCCAATAATAATGTATCGATAGTGTGTCATTAGTTGTGACAAATATACCATAATAATGTTAGCTATTAACCTAAGAAGTACTAAGTATGGATCATCTGAGAACTTTTACTACCCTTGCAACTGTCTGTAAATCTAAAATTAGTCCAAAATAAAAAATCTATTACACAATTTTTTAAAACTACCCTCTTCAAAAAAAAAAAAAATACCACCACAAAATATGTGTTTTTTCCTTTTGCAGTGAAAATTAAAAATAATATTAATATTGCTGGCAGTTAATAATGTAGACAAATGAGCTTTTCACATATTTCTTGCAAGTATTTTTTGACAATATATTTTTCAGAACAATTTATTGTATTAAAGGAAAGGCAATAAAAACTTCAAATACTTAAAGAATGAGGCCTGAGTTAGTTTATTTTGCATGCCAGGAAACACCACCAGTGAAGAATTCCTCTGAAAGAAAAATCGTCATAGGTTTGTTTTTCCTACAAGAAGGAGGAGGTTCATGGTCAGGGTGACAACTCAATATTGAAGAATTTATCTGGAAAGTGCAAAATGAGTCCACCCATAAATCTACACACAGTTAAAACAGGTTTTGTTGTTTGTCGGTCAGAAAATAGTCTCCAGTTATGTCCAGTGAGGGTCTAGCACAGTGGAGTCACTAGCATTCTGAATTATTTAATATGCATAGCCACTTAGTTTTGCCTGGGTAGAGACAGTTACAGTGAAACAGAATCACCTAAGCAAGTGTTTATCCAAATGAAACAGAATGGCTAAATTTGGCTAGCTGATAAACATAGGCCACGTAAAATTTTACCTTTGCAATTTGCTAGTCCTATAACCTTGGTAAAGTTATGTGAGTGTTCAGTAAATATAAGTAATGGTGAAAATTATGATCCAATACTATGTAATGATCTAATCCTTATTTATTATTTATCTTTTCACCAGCATGACCTCAGACTGTGCCCTCACTCATACCTCAGCATTCAGAACTATCTATAATGTCTGGATTAACCCACATTCTTTTTTTCATTCTCATCCTTGCACATACTCCTTGCCATGCTAAAAAATGCATCTCTTTATAAGCTTCTTATAGTATTTATCATAGTATTGTGTTTGCTGCTTGTATGTTTTTCTAATTAAGTTGGGTGCTTCTTGAAGGCAGACACAAAGTTTTAGTTTGTTTCTTTTTCCCCCCCTCAGCATTTTTAAAAGATCTGCCATGTAAATAGGTAAACATCACTCATGAACATTGCATTTTTATCAGTGTGAATGGATCTTCTATCAGTTCTTGAACTGTGGTTTGACAGCTGGCATCTAAATGGCTTATATGCAATTATCTCTAAAGAATAAGAGGAAGTTCAATAGCCTCTAACCTACTGACTCCATATCTCTGGTTCCAATTAAGGAGCATACAGTCCATGAAATGCTCCCAATTTCTCTAACCCAAGAGCCTCCTAGAGAGCTGTTTCATTTATTTTCAAATTTTTCACTTCGGTTTGAGCAGGTATACATAGTAATACCACTTCCTGTATTTGTTTCTTAAGATTGACATAAGTTACCACAAAATTGGTAGCTTAAAACCACAGAAACATATTTGCTAACAGTGGCAGGGACCAGAAATACAAAATCAAGGTGTCAGCAAGGCCTTGCTCTCTCTGAAGTCTCTACCTTTCTTCTTCCAGATTCTAGAGGCTCCAGGTGTTCTTTGACTTGGGGATGCATAATTTTGGTTTCTGTCTCCATCTGCACATGGTCTTCTGACTGGTGTAATCTGTGTCTTCTCTTCTTACAAAGACACTTGCCATTGAATTTAGTACGCACTAAATAATCCAGAATGACTTCAACTCAAGATATTTAACCACATCTCCAAAAAGTCTTTTTTTCCAAATAAAGTTACACTCCTACTTATTGAATGTTAGGTCTTAGACATATTGTTTGGAGTCTACAGTTCAACCCATTATATCACCACAAGACAGGCTTCCAGGTACGTGTTGTGAAACTCTGAAAATACATCCAAATGGTGGAACCCCAAGGTGAAAGATGATATTGCTCATGTGTATAATATATAAAAATATATTTTTCACTTTTTTTCTTAGATGTCTTCCTGGATTTTCTGGTCAATTTTGTGAAATTAATATAAATGAATGTTCTTCATCACCATGTCTACATGGAGCAAACTGTGAAGATCAAAACAATGGATATATTTGCAAATGTCAACAAGGTAATTACTGAAAAAAATAGTAAATAACAAGAATGCAGGAATATTGCATATATATTATAATATAAAAGTTTGTACAAATATATGTATGTGTGTATAATGCAGTTTTGAAAATCTACTCAGTCAATAGTGTTGTTGACTATCAATCAAGTTTTAAGCAATGAGTATACTTAACAAATAGAAAATGAATATTCTGTGATACTGTAAAGCAATCACTTAGGCTATAAGCAGAAAATTGTAATGTTTACATGGATTTTCTAAATTTATGTAAGCCTCAGATTTCTGATATTTATATCAATTATGCTTGGCATATGCCACGTCCTATTCTTAATATTGATATATTATTTTTTACAACAAATGTCAGCACAGAGATGGACAAGATGAATAAACTGGCTTTATTCAGGAACAATTGCTGCTGTTTTCTGAATTTTTTGTCCCCCTAAAATTCATACATTGAACTCTAATCATCAATATGATAATATTAACAGGTGGAGTCTTTGGGGTGTAATTAGGTCATGAGAGTGAAGCCTTGTGTAAGAGATTCCAGAGAGCTAGCTGGCCCCTTCCATATGTGGACATACATAGGAAATATCATCTAAGAACCAGGAAGCAGGCCCTCCCCAGACACTGAATCTGTCAGCAATGTGATCGTGGACTTGCCAGTCTCTACAACTGTGAGAAATAAATGTCTGTCTATAAGCTACCCAATTTGTGGCATTTTGTTATAGCAGTCCTGAATGGACTAAAAATAACTCCCCAAGTATTAATAATTATTGGTCCTTTGACTATCTTTACCTTTGGTCATGTTCTCCTTAGCTCCATATTGATATAAACATTTTATGTTTATGTATTTTTTCCCTCTTTTTGTTTTTATTTGTTTCATTCTCTAACTTTGCACATTTGCTGCTTTCTTTCTGTATCTTCTATCACCCATCTTCATTCACTAACATATATCCAAAAGGGATGTTGAATGCCCGAATTTCCTTGACCAGCAATACTTTTTCAGGAACATATGTGGGGTATATTTTTGCTCACTTTAAAAAAAAATTGAGCCAGGAATGGTGGTGCAGGGCTACAGTCTCAGCTACTTGGGAGACTGAGGTGAGAGGATTACTTAAACCCAGAGTTGAAGACTGTAGTGTACTTTGATCCTGCCTATCAATAGCATACTCTAGACTGGACAGCAAAAATATTAATATTTTTTTTAAATTCCCACTAGTTCCGGATCTCACAGAAAACTTCAGACAGCATATGAATAACCCAGATTTCTGGGTTTCTGGTTATTGGGTCCACTGAGGGAGTAACATCCAGATGGCCAAGTGGGTATGAGGGCTTCTATGCCCTACGTGAAATCATACAAACTAGTGAATGCCCATCAACTGAGTGTTACCCCCATACCATTGACAAGTTCAACATCACTCAGAGCCCTGTTCTATTTTTCAGTACTGTTTTCAGTACTGTGTTTTCAGTACTGTTACACAAAACATCTAGAGACACTTGCACCTGTGTTTTGAAATAGCTACTGGAACGTTTACAGGTAAAAGTAGTAGAATAAAAACTTCAACTTTTAAATGCTATTGCAAAAGTTTTGCCTCTTCCAAGTAAAAATATCTTTATTATGGTTAGAACTCTTAAAATCTTAAAAGAGCTACCATAAACAATAAAAATAATTCTACAAAACAATTAAGAAGTAAAACATCTACATAAATTATACTTACCATGTTGATAAGCATCTCATTACTGCTAGTTTCATTTTTTTTCATGTTGATAAATATCTTACAATTGCTAGACTAGCTCTGATGCTGTGGGTTAAGATTCTACTTGCTCTGAATTCACTTGGATGCCTGCAGCCATTTGGAAGCTGCTGTAACCTTCAGTTGAAGCCTTCTGCTGAATGCTGCACCTCTGGTCCATGGTGGGAAGCAGATGACCTAAAAATGACACCCACTTGTGCTGTAGTTGTTATTCAGAACTTGCTGGTACTTTTAACTTAAGACTTAAACGCTTCACAACCTAATCATAAGAACAAAAACCAACCAAGCAGCAAATGAAACAAACAAATCCTTGACTAATGCTGTGGACACTCTACCAAAGCTCTGTCTCCACTCTAGCCATTGCCCATATTCATGTCAACCCATCCACCTTTTGAAGTCCTTTAAGGAGCAATCTTGCTCCTGCAGGTTACCCTTCATCCCTGTCCTTATTTTCCGCATTGGTATAGTTTGCTGTCATTTCAGGGTGTTTCTATTCTTATAGTAAAATTCACTCTCGGATGTATAGTCCTATAGTTTTGGCAAATGCATAAGTTGTGTAACCACCACCTCATCCAAGCAAGTAACCACCATTCCCCTAAATGAGCTCATGCTGCCCGTTTTTATTTAACCCTTCCTTCATCTCAAGATAAACTGATGTTGATAGCGTCTTAACTTTTTCTTTATCATTTTGTCCTTGAAAATTATACCTGTTGCTGAGCTCTTCTTTTTCTTATATTCTGCATTTTAGATCTTGAAAACCAAATGTGAGAGGACTTTGGCACACGTGTACTTAGTAAATAATAATAATTATAATAATCATAGAATACTAGTACATAGACACCATGCTATTACACATATATTCACTCAGTTTTCATAATTGCCTTGAGAAAAAGGTATTTCATTTACCAGTCTCATTTTGCCAATAGGAAAACAGTCCTAGAGCCACTGGGTAATCTCACATAACACACTGGTGGTAAAGCTAAGATTCATATTCAGGAAGTCAGGCCTACTGCTTGGGCCCTCATCATCTCTTATATTCCCCAAAATGTTGTACTGCTTACTAGTAACTCCCCCATAACCTTTCAGTTATGGAAGATGAATAAATCCTAGAGATCTGCTGTATAACATCATGACATAGTTAACAGTAATGCACGATACAGTTAAAATTGTTAAATAGGTAGATCTCATATTCAATGTTCTTATTACAATAAAAATTAAATTGAAAATCATCAAAAAAAACTTTCCCCAATAAGATTCATCAGCATGTCTCAGTTTAGTCTAGATGTTAGCAATTCTAAGTACTAGGGGAATTCTTCAGGAAGGTCTTCTACCCAAATCTGTCTGATTTTCGCTTTAAAAGCTTCCATTAGCAAAAACTTAGAACTTTCCAATGTTCTGAGTAGTTCACAGCAGTTTGTCTTCTCCCAGATGTCACCGAAAGACAGAAAAGCTGACTCATTTAATTTACAAATGAACACTTTTCTCTGTCATCCATTTAAAAGATCCTTAAATAATATTGATAACTCTTTCTTAGACTTTGATCGAAACCATGCCATTATCCTTCTCATACACAATTCCAGATGGAAAACTATCTTGACTAACTATTCCTCTGCCTTTAAGTTGGTTAAACATTATCGCCACATTCTATTTTCATCAGTTGTGGAAATCATTCTTAAATTCACATCATGTTGCCAATTATCTAAATTCTCTTGTTTTCATGTAACAATTTCCATGGTTATAATCCTGGGTTACTCTTGTGCTATGCCATAAGGTTTGTGATTTTATCTTTTTTCTCTCTTTCCTCCTCTTTTAGTACAAACAGAGCTGTATGACTCCTGCAATATTCTGAACAGAACACAGTTTGAAAAACTAAATACTGGTTTCTCCACCAGATATTCTGCAAAATACCAAAATTTAGACTGGATATAAGTAGGCTAGAAGACATTCTAAGTATTATTTAGTTTTATACCACCAAATCCTAGTAGAGAAGTTGTATCATAATGGGTCCTCAGGGAGTGTTCAGCACATGTTGAAAAAATACAGTGCATTTATGGCTGATGCTGCCTAGTCACTGATAGGGCTATGGTTAGCATAAAGCCCTCCCCCACTGTGTAGGCAAAGCATGTATAGAATTGCATCGTTTCCTCCAAGCCAACAAGGAGTAATGCTCATCCACTTTGCACGAGGTTGTGCAAGAAACAAACCAAATAGCATTTAGGATTATCCTAATCACAGTTCATTTTGTACCTGTGCAGTGAATTCAAGAGATTAATTAAAATAATGAGCTCATTTCAAATGAGCTATTGATACAGGTATTCAGATAGGTTTTACAGAAATAAAAACACACTAAACTAAGTTAGTTTTAGCCAAACTAGTCCTATTTATAGTGTTGTCTAACAATACTTAACACCTAGTAAGTGCAACCAGAGATATCTCATTATGAGGAAATTGAAAGTGACAGAAGCAGTTTCTGTGCTGCACATGTGAGTGCTGCACCCAGAGTTGCTCTCAATCCCTGGAGAGTAGGTCCAAATGTTTTTTATACCCAGGAGGAGTTCAATGGTGTTTATACTGGTGATGATGCAAACTGCAGATGCACATGTTGCTCTTAAAGTGACATTATTCACTTTGAAGCAGAAATGTATCAGTGTCCTTGGAACAAGGAAACAAAGAAAAAACATGGATAATATCTGCCACCAGTGCTCACAATTATTGTCAATGATGGGACCTCTCTATTTAGAACAGAAGAGATACAGAATAATCTCTCTTTTTAATCAAGACCCATGAAAAGTGAAATAATCTTTAATATAAAATAAAATAATGTATAGTATTATTTTTCATGAAGCTTTATGTGTAGAATTAATTCTTCTACATATTCTGGAGTTAAAGAAAATAAAATAGTTTTATGTCATTCAATTACAAAATAACATATGAACTGGTAAGACAAAATTATTTTAGGTTTTTTAGGCTTAATTTTGCTTTCTATTTCCAAGATTCAATGCAAACAACCAGGGGCTGAGAGAGAAAATAAAATGAAAACAAAATATATAAATCCTTGAAATAGTGACTTTTATTTTTTTAATAAACTGCAACTATTATAACTACTGTGTTATAGCATGGAATGGTAGCATTAAAACTGTTCAGTGTTTCTACTTCTATATATCAATATATTTAAAGATTTAATTTTGTCTTCAACTTAAAAATTACTTTAATTTTATTACACCGTCATTTATTCTGTAAGCATTTATTTTCCATTATTAATCAGATATTACATTAATTCTATAAGTTCAACACCATAATAATTTGTTTACTTTTTCTGAACTGCAAATAATAAACCTTTTAGTTTCTTGTTTTTAATTACCAAACAGTATTTTCTAGGTACTCGATTAGCTTATTATGAATGAACATCAAACCTACATGAGATTCAAAAGATGTGCATTTCTTTGTTTCTGGCTATTGAAAAAAAAATCTTGTTCAATAAATATTTATTTGCCTGATTTATATTCCCTTATTCATTTCTCATCTCTTACCATCACCTTGCTCCACACCAGTCTGAGCGCCTATTCATCTGACATTTCTTCTTGATGGGTATGACTGGCACTCAACATCATTCCTGTCTAGTGTAGTTTCCAGTACTGCAGAGGCAAGAATATTAAGAACTGCAATTTTTAGACTCCATCAAAGCTGAGGTTGCGAATATAATTTGGTTCCACCAATAATAAACAGACCTGAAATCCAAAGGCTGTGATGAAGACCATTTCTGGATGTCTTGGCAACGTCTCTTGGTAAAGACGGTGCCATGGTGATGAGTGAGGATTTTTGCAGGAGATCTCACTGTAGAGTCACTAATTTAGTTTGTAGGAGCATTAATGGGGCAACTTCCTCTTAATCCGCCTTCCTTGGATTGGCACAGTGAGTTCTTGAACTCAATAATTCTAGTGATGGCTTTATAGTTTTCACATTCCTGATTCAGGTGGACAAGAGATCTCTCAGAAAATCCTATCTGGGCTTATTGGAGTTACTCCCACATTCCTTCCTTCTGATCATTTTGTAAGCATCTAATTCTATTAGTAAGGCCCTATTTGCCTAAATATTTAGCCTGATTTCTACTTCTTGTGCTGAATTTTGACTAACATTTTTTATCCTAGGTGTTTTTAGAACAACAAAATTTTCTTTAGTTGTCCTTGACTTCCCTATTCTTAGGGCATTTACTTTAGTCAACTTGTAGTGGTAAATTCTTTCCCTCTCTATTTGAGATGTAAATCTTCTCCTAGACTCTTGCGTTGTACAAAGCAGAAATATCTTTCTCAAGGATAGGTCCTTGAGTCATTCCATTGAAATGGAATCCTGGAAGAAGATAGTGCCTATGTTTGTAGGAGAGTACATGGCTAGCTTCTTTAAGAGACAATTAGCAAGCACAGGTAGCCTAATCACATCAACCAACATCCCCCCACCCCATTTCCCAGCACTTTTCCATTAGCTCACTCCAGCATTTAAAAATTCGTCTGCTCCCTTTTGTTTTAGTAGAGTTGAGTTCAAGCTCTCTTCCGTGTTGCACAAATTCTCTGTCTCCTATTGCCAAGCTTGTACGTAGTCTTTCTTGTTTGTTTAGCTGGTCCAGCAGAATTTTTATTTTACAATTCTCATCTTATGATTTAAGGTTTTGTCATGGCCTTTCTAGTATTAGAAGCAAGAGAAAAACTATGTTATCATTTTTAATTGTTTCAAATATATTTTGAAATATTTTGCTCAATCAAAAGAATACGCCACATATAAAATATTAAAAATAATAAAATAATTGTGTATACCCACTGTTAGCTTTGAGAAATAGAATACTAGCAATAATTCTGCCTCTTCTAAATTCCTTCCAGAACATCACCGTGCCCTGCAGTAACTATTCAGAGTTTTATATTCAACATTCCCTTAGTATCCCTTAGAGGTTTATTATATATGTATGTATCTCTAAGCAATGTTATTATACTTTGTATGTATTTGACTTTTATAAGGACCGTTATCAGGATGTATTTTTATGCAATATGTTTTTATGCTCAACAATATGTTTGTGAGATTCGGCTATGTGAATAACTGGTTGCAGCAGCTTTTTATAAGACCTGCATTTATTTTTCTGTATCACCTTTTATGGTCTCCTTAGTAGAGATTCCTACAGAATCCATTCAGCACATGAAAGAGCATTGCAGAGTGGAAAGAGTCTTGGACAGGGATTTGATAAATTTAGTCTTTTGGCAGCTACTTCTGAGTTTGATCTGGACATTGCCAAGTTTTTTATACTCAGGCCTTATTTTTCCTCTTATACTGCAGCATTGCCATAAATCATTTCTAAGCACTCCAGAATACATATTTAATTGTTCTGTTATAATTTATCAGGGAAGAACAGTGAGAAATATTTCTAAGTAGGGACAAGAATAAAATTTTGTGTTTCTTAATAGCTAGGTCCAGATTAAGTGCTGTTGGAGGACACAGAAAAATAAAGTTAAAAGCTGCAATTGTAGTAGGCATTATCAGTCAGTGAGCAGTCTAAAGATCTGTTATCCCTATGTAGAATGGTATGTTTAGGTTAGCACAATGTTATGGCTAACATGTTAAACATATTAAGGAGGCTGGTCTCGGTGGCTCAGTCTGCAATCCCAGCGGTTTGGGAGGCCAAGGCGAGTGGATTGCCTGAGCCTGCGGGTTAGAGACCAGCCTGGGCAACTTGGCAAGACCTCGTCTCTGCAATAAATAAAAAATTAGCTGGGCGTGGTAGTGTGTGCCTATAGTTCCAGCTACTTGGAAAGCTGAGGCAGAAGGATTGTGGAGCCTAGCTGGTCAAAGCTGCGGTGGCCT